ACGTTAATCTACTAACTCTCCTGACTGCTTTGTTGGACAAAAATGGCGGATTATGATTGGTCAAATCGCCTGTCAATCAAGTCAATTGTAAATATAGTCGAGATTCATGTTTAGATTTATTACAGTTCATCACTCAGAAGGTTTGATGGCAGTAAACAGCACAAGAGGCTCGTGAAGGAACACAGACCGACTGAATGACATTTCATTTAAAGCCCCCCTGTGGTGAAAATCAAGCTTTTAAATGTTGTTTATGCAGAGTTTTTAATGTGCTTTAAGACAAACCATGTGTAAGTTCATAAGTCGACAGCATTGCTGAGTATTTTCTCCTTAAAACTGCAGTGAACCAAAGACAGTCTCAAAAACACGGTTTGAAATCGCTGGTGTTTCTGACGTCACAAACGACCTTGTAACCAATCAGATCAACGTGTGATCGTCAACCAGTGGATCTCTGAGCTGAGTGAGTGAGTGGAGGCGGGGGTCATTTGCATATTCATAGAACCACGTATACTAAATGAGGCAAGGGTGTCGAGTTACATTCAAGATATTTTAAGGCATGAAGAATTTTTTTTCAATGAAAATTTTGGTGATCAAAGATGAGTTTAAGGGATAAAATTATTGACTACAGGGGGACTTTAAGCAAAAAATCTCACATGGAGATTGATAAACTCCAGCTTGCTTGTTTCCGATAAGCGTCAGATAAGAACTACCTAAAAATGGCAAACCATCTTCGTAAAAAAATTATTCGAAGCATAATTGGATTTTTTAGTTTGGCTTGCGTCCCATTCGATTACATGGCGGGGTTTATGAACTATACTGCAGCCAGCCACCAGGGGGCGATCAAAATGTTTCAACTTCACTTTTCAAGACACTTAATCCACACACACACACACACACACGGGATAGGGGCGGTACAGATGAAGGATCGCTGATCTAAAGAGTGACGTCACTTGTGTTGATGCCGATGACCAATTGCTTTTATCGGCCGATATCGATTATTGGTCTCTAATCTCTAATTTAAATGTTTAAAAAATGTTATCATTTTGTAAATAACAAAATGATTGATCTTACTTCAGCACACATAAAAAACTCTGGTCTCAGATCAGTGGGACGCTCCACCAGTGGACTGTGGTGGCAGATGCTATAAATAGGGGCGTTTTAATTAAATATGAGGTAATGTGATCTGTGTGTGGCAGACAGCAGATCGCTCGTCCCTATACATTCGTTATCATTAACAGATAAACGGGCCTCCTGCACGGTAACTCAAGCCTGCTGTTATGACAACAGGGTCATAGTCGATAGTAGAATCTATACAGGAAATAATGAGATAGACATGAAATGAACATGACAGAATTAAACGCGTCTGTACTGTATCAGGTGATGCTGGATTAAATATGTGACAGGAAGTGATGTATGTGGATGATGCTGTACAGTATCTCAGACTTAGATTGACTGATTACAAGGGAAAGATGTGACAGAGTGTTTGACAAACACCTCCAAGGCCTTAGAAACCATTCAGAAGACCTTACCAACCACATAGCAACGCCCTAGCAACCTCTCAGAGGATTTTAACTTCATAGCAACGGGTTAAAACATTCTGAACAACTTAGCATATCAGTGCCCAAGCAACCATTCAGAATACCCTAGTAACAATCTAGAGAACCTTAGTAACTCCATAGCAACATGTTTAAAAAACTCTGAACAAATTAGCAATTGCATGGCATGGCAATGCCCTAGCAACCATCCAAAACACCCTGGCAACCACTCAGAAGATGACATTAGTAACTGCATAGCAAGGCCCTAGCAACCACCCAGATCTTCTTCATAGCAACATGCTTAAAACACTCTAGACACCGTAGCAAATACATATTGATGTCCTAGCAACCACTTAAACACCCTAGCAACCACCTAGACGATGGTATTAATTTCATAGCAACATGCTTAAACTCTGAACACCTTAACAACCACCCAGAAGAAGACCTTAGCAATTGCATTAGCAATGCCCTAGCAACCAATCAGAACACCCTGGCAACCACCTGGAAGACCTCAACAACCACAGAGCAATGACCTAGCAACCACTCTGAACACCCTGGCAACCCCCCGAAGGAAGAATTTGACCTTAGCAACTGCATTAGCAATGTCCTAGCAACCACTACAAACACCCTGGCAACCACCTGGAAGACCTTAACAACATCGGAGCAATGCCCTAGCAACCACTGTTACTGTTGCTCACTGTGATGCTGAATACAGAGAGAGATTCATATAGATCAATTTATACTGCGACTGATACACTTAAAAATGAAAATTCTGTCATAATTTACTCTCCCTCAAGTTGTTTCAAAGTTGTACGAATATATTTCTCCTGCTGAAGAATTATTTCACTATTCCTTTAAGGACAAAAACACTTCAGGGAAATGCATTAAGTGAGATTTATTGAGACTTAGAACGGTGTGGGTATTTTTCTCACTATGGATCATACAGGTCTTTTCCTACTAAGACTTGCATATAATAATAATAATAATAATCATCTGTGGCCTTAGATGATCTGACACACGTGAAGCTCCGCCTCCTCCTGCATTTAAAGACTCAAGCCAGAAGACAGAGTCTGACGCCGGCGACGGGACATTCCTGAGACTCGTCGTGGCTCAAAGCCTAAAATAAGATTAGGACACTCGTCGGGAATTACACGGATCCTCTGCTCTCTCTCTCTCTCTCTCTCTCGCTCTCACTAAATTAACAAATTATATTAAATCGTTTTAATTTTCGTTTTAAAATTATTTTTAACTGCAGCACTTAAAAAAATAAATATTTGTATCTATTTTTACTCAAACATTTTTAGTATATATATAAAAAAAAAGTCACGTTTTCGAAACCTAACAGCAAAATAAATGCATTACAATATTTTGTATTGTAATTTTGCTCTGAAATTTTTTTTTTCATTGCAAATATATTGTGAATATTTAATATATCGCCCAGCCCAAATGCATAAATATGATGGAAAAAAATTGTGTTTTAAAATTTACAGTAGTGGACAAAAGTGATATTTGTGTTTAATGACCCTACAATTAATAAACAGTCAAAATATGAGGAAAATATTTTATATTTATAATTTGGTTAAGGTATTTATCTGTCAAAATTATTTGGCAAAAAAGGCAAACTACAGCAACTTATTTTATTTTACTATGCATAGAAAAACAAAGCATACATCGACTACAGCATAATCGGTTATTAATATTTGGTTGACATGATTGCATGTGTGTTCATTTCTTTGTATAACAGCCTGGACAAAAATTATGTCGCACAATTTCACAAATACTATTATTATCCAAAAATATGACATATTACTCCAAGCACAACTGCGCAATATAATTACAAGTTCAAATGTAATAATATTTAAGGGTGAAGATGTACATTTTCCTAGCCTGGACATCACTTTTGCTCATATGAAAAATTCAGAAGTTTCAAAATTATGCAAATTTGAACGAATGCTGTCCTAATGATGTAAACAATTTGATATACATATATCTCACGCTAATTGGTTGAAGAGAGTGAAGTGTCTGTTGACAGGTGTAACGTGTGAATACTGACGGGGTAACGACTCCTTTCAGGCCAATTTAATGAACTTACGATGGTTGGTCTTTCTTTGTATTAGTGAATGCATGTGCACAAAGGTCAAGAAAACCCAACCTCGCTTTGACCCCCGAAGCTTTCAAGCCTGCAAACGTGCCCGAATGCTTTTAAAAGTGCACGTGTGAGTCCGTGTGGAAGCATTGATTAACTCAATCGACGGAACGGTTGCCAAGGACATAAACAACTCCAGAGTTCCACCGTTACCATGGACACCATACAGCTCCATTATGATGTCACAGCTGCATCAAGAACACAGTTCCGCCTCCATTTGTCATTCTGAAACAACATTACTAGAGGCTAATATCATAATCGTGTCTTTGAAATGGGAGTTTCAGCATTTAATGCTGTTCGGGAAGCTTCACGGTGCTGTTATTATTGATTTGATGCACAGTGTACTTTCATTAGAACTAAATGTGTCTGTAAGATGCCTTTTTGTCACTCATGAAGAGAGAAAAACACAAAATGAGATTTCATTCTCAATACAGCAAAGTGCTTTTCTCTTAAGCATTTCTGTATCTTCAACACCGCTGCACAAAATGTCAAAACCGTTTTAAATCTTCAGATCAAGAGCTTGTACCACAACTATCTAATTATGCCAATATCCCTCACTGGGGAGTTCTTGTGTTCCCCGTCCATTTGGAAACATATCTGACCTCACAATCCCCGAGGCATTCGCATTAAAGAAACAGTACACCCAAAATTAAAAATCTCATTTATGTGGAAACATTTGAGAATTATGGCAGGATATAATGTGAATTTTAGTCTGTTGCTCACACAAAGCTACATGATGGCAATCGGGAGATTTAAAATATAGATTAATTTACTGGTGCTTTTCGCCTTTGACAGCTCCTCATCCACCCATGACATTGGTCTAATTTTCTGCTTTCGTGTTACACAGAAGAAAGAAAACTCAAGGGGTTTGTAATGTCATAGGGGTGAGTAAATAATACCAGTATTTTTATTTTAGGTAAACTGTCCCTTTAAGACCAGCATCATCCCTGTTATTTCAACAACGCAGTCGATCAGGGCGGCATTAACCTTTCAAAGGAATATTTATCCACATTATTTTTAGCTAACTACCCAGAATAATTGAGTATAGGAATATACTAACGTCCTTAAGCTGTTGAAAATCCCTTTAAATCCACGAGAGATGCGCGAGCACCTGTGCGGGTTTCCATCGGGTGTCATGTGTGCTTCTCTACCCAACGACACCCTACTATTGGATAGACATTATATACTGTGTTATTATATCGCTATATAATCGCATAAAGAGAAGAAAGCGATGCAATCTAATGCCAGTGCACTAAACCCGCCCGTAAGTGAACACTGACACATTAACACACTCACACATATATGAGAGAATCACTCGTTACCTCGGAATGAATATAATGTCGCTCCGGAGTCGCGCGTTATTTCTGGGTTTTCCTCGATTTCTTCCCGGTCATCCGCTCGATCGCTACCATTAGCCACTCGCTGGTTTCCTCTGAAGAGGGTTGTGTGTTCTTCATGAGCCTCTTATAAAGAGCCGGACGATCCTCTGTGTGTCGGTTCACGGTGGAGGATTCAGGCCTGTCGCGCGCTTCACCGTAAAGAGCGACGAATGTGTCGGTGACGCGCGTCTGGAGCCGTGGAGCCGCTGGCCGGGATCCTCTCTCTCTCTCTCTCTCTCTCTCTCTCTCTCTCTCTCTCTCTCTCTCTCTCTCTCTCTCAGTCTCAGCCACACTGTCTCTCGCTCTCCTCCAAACGGGAACATCCTAATGTAGAATCGTAAATTAAATTAGAACGTACATTTTAATTACATTTACCTTACAAAAACTACTGTACAGTAATGATAATAGCATTGCATTGTGGGATATACCATAGTATTACCATGATTCATGATAAATAAAAAAGACAGTATCTGTCAAAAACCCATGGTATTATCATACGTCCAAAACATGGTATTATTATGATGCATGTCCAACAACATGGTGCATGATGCATATGAAGCAGTAATACATAGTGATACTATGATGTATGTCCAAAAAAACATGGTATTCATATGATGCATGTCCGAAAAACATGGTATTACCATGATGCATATGAAAAAATGTATTAATCTGTCCAAAATCCTTTGTGTTATTATAGTGCATGTCCAAGAACATGATATTTCAAAAATACTTGGTATTGCCATGCCAATATGCTCAAATAGACATTTAATGGTACTTTAGCCAGCTTTTTTAGTCTAGTTGAGCCTGAAAATCCCTTCCATTGCACATAGTTTCCACCAGAATCCTGTATTTTTAAATTGAAATGGTCTGAGAAGCTTTCGTAGTTGTGTGCTTTGTTTTCAGATGGTCACCATAATACCACAGTTTTACTACGGTAGCTCTCAGTGCTGTGTTTAACGAAGCCGCCGTATGATGAGTGTAACTGAAGCAGGCTGATAACAGCAGGTCAGGCTGATGAAGATGTGTGTGTGTGTGTGTGTGGGTCCCGGGGGGCTGTATCCGTCAGATCTGCTGGAGGACGAGCTGTAATGGCTCTTAATGACCGCTGAGTCACGCACACAAATGTCCTTTCCAGCCTTCTCCGTTTCACTCGCAGGATTGTGTGAGAATTAGAGAAGACGAGCTCACTTACCGTCATTATGATGCAGATGCACAAACACCCGTTATATGTGGATATATCCAGATGTGTCATTTCAAAACATCACAGCTGTATTTTGCATTGTTTTTTATTACAAACATTTGCTTGTCTCAAAAAAATATTTTGTTTATTTTTTAACTTTCAAGGCATCTTCTATTTGATCCCAAGCCTACCTCAGTTTCCACCAAGGCTTGGTTGCAGAAGTCCTGGAAGAGTCTACAGTGGCCTCACAGTCACCTGACTTGAACCCCATAGAAAATCTCTGGTGGGATTTGAAGGCGGCGCAAACCCAGGGATATGACTGAACTGGAGGCCATTGCTCATGAGGAACGGGCTCAGACTCCTCAGAAATGCTGCCAGAAGCTGCTGTCTGCTTATACATCTCGTTTGCAGCAGCTCATAACAGCAAAAGTTGTTCAACTAAGTACTAAAGATGCCGCCATGAAGGGGTTGAATCATTTTGAGACTGCAGAAATCATTAAAAGTGGCATTTTCAGCTGAGTTTGGGGAAACCACGTGAAACATTTGTTGTGTTGAGCTATTTCAATTACTTTTGTTTGATTTGTTCAATGCAAAAACCTGAAAGTTTGTCAATTTTGCCAATAAACCTGGTTTGTAATGGGGGTTGAATAATTTTGATTACAAGTTATAAATATATACACTCACCGGCCACTTTATTAGGTACCCCATGCTAGTAACGGGTTGGACCCCCTTTTGCCTTCAGAACTGCCTCAATTCTTCGTGGCATAGATTCAACAAGGTGCTGGAAGCATTCCTCAGGGAGTTTGGTCCATATTGACATGATGGCATCACACAGTTGCCGCAGATTTGTCGGCTGCACATCCATGATGCGAATCTCCCGTTCCACCACATCCCAAAGATGCTCTATTGGGTTGAGATCTGGTGACTGTGGAGGCCATTTTAGTACAGTGAACTCATTGTCATGTTCAAGAAACCAATTTAAAATGATTAGAGCTTTGTGACATGGTGGAAGTAGCCATCAGAGGATGGGTACATGGTGGCCATAAAGGGATGGACATGGTCAGAAACAATGCTCAGGTAGGCCGTGGCATTTAAACGATGCCCAATTGGCACTAAGGGGCCTAAAGTGTGCCAGGAAAACATCCCCCACACCATTACACCACCACCACCAGCCTGCACAGTGGTAACAAGGCATGATGGTTCCATGTTCTCATTCTGTTTACGCCAAATTCTGACTCTACCATCTGAATGTCTCAACAGAAATCGAGACTCATCAGACCAGGCAACATTTTTCCAGTCTTCAACTGTTCAATTTTGGTGAGCTCTTGCAAATTGTAGCCTCTTTTTCCTATTTGTAGTGGAGATGAGTGGTACCCGGTGGGGTCTTCTGCTGTTGTAGCCCATCCGCCTCAAGGTTGTGCGTGTTGTGGCTTCACAAATGCTTTGCTGCATACCTCGGTTGTAACGAGTGGTTATTTCAGTCACTGTTGCCCTTCTATCAGCTCGAACCAGTCTGGCCATTCTCCTCTGACCTCTGGCATCAACAAGGCATTTCCGCCCACAGAACTGCCGCTCACTGGATGTTTTTTCTTTTTCGGACCATTCTCTGTAAACCCTAGAGATGGTTGTGCGTGAAAATCCCAGTAGATTAGCAGTTTCTGAAATACTCAGACCAGCCCTTCTGGCACCAACAATCATGCCACGTTCAAAGTCACTCAAATCACCTTTCTTCCCCATACTGATGCTCGGTTTGAACTGCAGGAGATTGTCTTGACCATGTCTACATGCCTAAATGCACTGAGTTGCCGCCATGTGATTGGCTGCTTAGAAATTAAGTGTTAATGAGCAGTTGGACAGGTGCACCTAATAAAGTGGCCGGTGAGTGTATATTAATAAGTCTATGTAAACACTAGCATGAGGTCGTTCTGTCCACTGATAACGTATGGCAACGGCTGCGGAAACTAAATCTGAACAAATCAAAGCCCCGACGGAGAGAAACGAGAGGACGGTCAGGAGTCGAGGACGAGAGGTTTCAGGAATAATAACAGAAGCACAAGCCAAGCGTTAGTGTTATCAGAGCAGCGAATCCAGTCACTCGCTTTTCTACATCTTCTGAAAGTTGTATTATCATAACTCTGCTAATATGAGTAAAGAGCCCATATTAGCTCTTTATTTCCCCAAAGTGCAGGAAATAAAATGCAATAAATGTATAATATTTGCCCACAGAACCTAGACCTGCATATTTCTGCCATTCATCATCCAAAATTAGTTTTTGATTCATTAGTTGCAATTATAGAGGAAAAGCACTAATCTCTGTTCCAGTTTAATTTGATTATTTGTAGTAATAATAGTTTAGACCAGGGATTCCCAAACATTTCTGTCAGCCAAACCTAAAATACCAACCAAATATATGAAATATTTCTGCAAGCCAGACCTAGGATATTCCCCTGAGATTATAAATTACAACAAATGTGTATGTTCACAGTCCTCTGATGTTGATAAACAGCTACATGCAGGTTAAAAAAAAGAAAAAAAAAAGTTAAATACATAAAATAAAAACCAATGTTTTTGTGCTATTAATTGCATTTCAAAATGTATACATTTTAAATTTATTTAAAGTTTTATATTTAAACAAAATATGAATATATATATAACATTAAGCCTATTTGGTTTTATTTTTATGCATTTTATCATCTTTAGTGAACGCAGTTTAACTGTACAGTTATATGATGCTGCCCCCTGCTGGAGAGAAGCTGTGTTTCATGCCGAAATAAAGGCATTCGATGGAATAAATACATAAATAAAAAAAAACACACAGACATGAAAGGAGTTTAAATAATTGTATTATCTTACATGTAGATTATCTCAAAAACTTCCACTAAGAAAAATAGTTCAGTACAACGTAGAAAACAAGCAACAACAACACTACAACATCTATATATTAGTATTAATCCAAGTGACGTCTTCCTCGGTTTTGAGTTCCCTCTCGTTGTGTCTCTTGGACTGGCGGTAATGTCTCTCTGCATCTTGTGCCTCGTAGAGGACGGCCATGATCTTCCTCCTGACGCGCATCTGCACGCTGGGGTCGCTGAGCAGCCGGTACTCCATCGCCACCTGACCCGAGAACACCGCGGCCGAGTCCGCCGGAGGGTTCTCCAGGACCTTAGCCGACATCTGCTTCAACACCTCCAGCTTCTGCAGCTCGATGTCCGAGTCGGAGACGCGCCGCCGCTTGCTGGACGAGCTCCTGGGGGACAGCGAGTACGAGGCCGTCTCCTCGGGGATCCCGGTGTCGGGAGTGCCGGGCATCGGAGAGAGACACACACTGATGGAGTCGAAGCTGTCGATGTCTTTATCCGTCTCCTGCATCATCTCGTCCGACTCCTCCACACACTCCTCCGCTTTATCAGAGGACGGCAGACCCGGCTACAGGGAGGACAGAAGAAAGCTTTAGCACAGGCGTGACGAGCGAGTCGATCTCTTCAACGATATATCGTACTGTGGTAGTTGATATTGAGGAAAAGTGCGATATCTCATTAAATAACGCGATATTCAATATGCAATACGATAAGGCTTAAAGTGTGTAAAATAAACTTACAATCGATTTAAAATGATATATCCTACATCAAACTGTCACAACCAATCAAAATGCGCCATATCTGAATTGTATTGTGCAGAGAATGAGCTCCAACCTGCATTTGTTTCTCACACAAAGCCATCGGATTACTTATTGTGACACTTTTTAGTCCTTTTTGGAGCATGTAGGGCTGCACGATATTGAAGAAAAGTGCGACAACTCATTAAATAATGCTTAAAGTGTGTAAAATAAACTTACAATCGATTTAAAATGATATATCCTACATGCGTTTCTCACATTCTTTTTGTGACAAGAAAACATCCCTACAGCTTCTGAAGTTAACAGTGTTTTACTGAGAAATGCTGCTTTGGAAACTATAGCTGAAAGTTCAAGTTTTTAATACTTTATTTGAACATTCAGGTTTTTTTTTTTTTTGGTGAATCTTCCCATTTGTATTTTCCACCCAACGAATTTTCAGTGACATCAAACTGTCACAACAAATTTTAAAAAAATGGCCATTTCTGAATTTTATTTCAGCTCCAACTTGCATTTGTTTCTCACACAAAGCTACCGGATTACTTATTGTGACACTTTTTAGCCCTTTTTGAAGCATGTAGGGCTGCACGATATTGAAGAAAAGTGCGATATGCGATACGATAATGCTTAAAGTGTGTAAAATCAACTTAAATTATCTTTCAAATATCTTTAAAATTATATACATGTTTCACATTCTTTTTGCTGCAGTGTTTTACAGTCGCATAAGACGTGTTATTTTAACATCAGTGTGTTTAGGGTTTCAGGTTATCCTACATTAGAGTTATTTAACAACAGAAACTGAATAATCAAATGTACAAATAAAACACTGCATAGTTTTCACTGTATGAATTAAATATATCATGATTCGTATTAAAGCTACAAAAGTTATTCAGCAAACAGCAGTGAGTGATTTTCGTCTTTTGTTCATGACCGCAGTTATTGCGATATGCATATTGCGATGATTTCGATATATTGTGCAGCCCTAAACCAGACTGACTTTATTTCTGTCACATCTTGAGAATTAACAGAGGTTTAGATGTTGATGTCTTATTGAAAATGTTTTGTTTGAGGTCACCATTATGGAGATCAGTGTGTGCTTTAGTTGGGCTCTGACCCTTGGCTTTCTTTAAGTTGGTGCTTTATCAGAAATTGCAGATGTTTATGGAGAACATTTCTGCTTTGATAAAGCAGATCAACAAGTCAGTTTAATAACTGACAAATGTCTGCTTTATATGTAATTGATGACTTGAGGAATTGAAGCATTATTAAAAAATATGAAACCCAACAAATGCGAAAAAGATAATTTATAACAATATTATTGTATTTCAGAGGCTGAATGTTGATTTATGCGAGTATATATAAAACACTGTCATTGTTAACTTTGTTTTGTGTAATTTATACACTCATAGACATCAACAAACAGCATATGAAACACAACAATGGTGACATTATGTATATTATGCAGGCCTAGTAGTTAAGCAGCGAGTAATGTCGTTGTACGGAATCATTTAATTCTGATTAACACAAAAGATGTCCATGTAAGCGCAGCTGACAGTCGTCACACACCATCGGAGAAGCGCTAATTAAACGTCAGCAGTGATTTCGGCCCTCAAAAACCGTTTCAAAATTCATTTTTGGCTGAATATTTCCAGTTGCAAATATTTCAGTGTGTCAGTAATGACATACAGTCAAACCAACATGTATTCAGACACCTTTTCTACCAACATTTCTCACTTTATCACAGTTTATTCGCTATAGTTTAGAAGATGGTAATAAAATATGAGCAGAACTATCAGAGTTATCAGATCAGTTTATATTTCACTGGTTTTGTCCGTCCTTCTGTTAGACTCTCACACATGAATTATGTTGAATATCTGTCAGATGTTAAATTTAAAAAGCTTCATGTTGTTCAGTCTGTGTGTAAAGAGCATTAGCAATTAAAGCAAAACACGCTCAGGTCAAAGTGTCTGATTAAATTTGGTCCAAATTTTGTATAAATGTTACTGGTAGTCACTGTATGAAGAATATTTGGGTATAATGAGACAGTTTACTTTATTTGCTATCCTCACTTACATAAATGAACTATAGTGACACTATTGAAAAAATATCAAAAATGATATCTGGTGTCTGAAATTTTTTTGGTTTGACTGTATAATGTAAAATATATATATTTATACCATGGTCTGGGTGAATACTCGATTCTGATTGGCTGCAGGGTGTCCGTTGTGAGTGATAAGTGATAGAGGACACCTAGTAAAGTAGTTCTGGTGAAACTGACTGTTTACCATTCGAAATTAATAAATAAATGCGCTGCCTACAACAGCTGTGAGTAACCATAGCAACAGTCAAAGTATCCGTTAACAATTTGCTCTCTCAAAACAAACATCTATCGTTAGTTAGATATTACATAGCCTACTAATACAACAATGAGCGACTTCGTTATTTCTTTTAACATTTATGGAGAATATGACAACTTTGACGACTGGGATGCTGCTGAAGAAAGAAAAATGTAAATAAAACGGCGATTGATCTGATTTATTATTGCCCTCTATAAGCGCAAATCTAATTGTTTTTTTTTTTTAAATTTATTGTTGTTTGATTAATTGTTTAATGTGTAATAAAAAAAATAACTATGCCTACCTTTGTGTTTCATGGAAAAAAAAAAAATGCATTTTTGAACCTGAAGGGTTCAAGCTGAGCGGACTATAAATATCTCCGGTTGCTAAATAAACCATCAGGCAAGTTATTATTTGTAAAAACTAGATTTAACCTAATTAAAATATAAACTAATGTTTTAAAAATGTTTTATTTGGCAAGTGACCATGGTATAAGCGGGTTAATGCCCTCCGAGGTGTCCATTGTCAGGTTTTAATCCTCCGCTGCGCGTCGGCCGGTTCACACCTCGCCGTCGTCCATTAAAACCTGACAATGGACACACCGTCGGGCATTAACCCTTACATATGTGTGTGTGTGTGTGCGTGTGTGTGTGTGTTTGTACACGTACATGGTTCTCGTTTCGCCGATGAACGATGTGTGGCTTCAGGAAGTCCAGGGCCCTCAGGAGCCATCGCTGCCTCAGCGTGAGGGGCTTGATCTCACTCCCACTCGGCTTGGGTTTCCTCAGCCGAGCGTATTGAGTCCTCAGAGACGCCACTCGGGTCGCCACCGCCTCCGCTGAGGGAAGGAAACACACGAGGTCAGAGACAGCAAACACAGGCCTGCCGCGTCTGAACATGAGGAACACAGCTGGGTCTCCATTCAGATTGGAAGCTCCCGATTCCATTCGATTCGACTCATTGAATATAGATTTAATACAAATCCTATATTTATAAAAACAGTGTACATAAATTTTATTCATTTCATTTCATTTCATTTAGCTGACGCTTTTATCCAAAGCGACTTACACTGGCTGTATATGTCAGAGGTCGCACGCCTCTGTCTGGAGCAACTAGGGGTTAAGTGTCTTGCTCAGGGACACATTGATGTCTCACAGTGGATTCGAACCCGGGTCTCTCACACCAAAGGCATGTGTCTTATCCACTGCGCCATCACCACCCCGCCATCACAAATTGACATAAGTGGTTAATAAATGCAAAGAAATGAAGAGCCACAAACCTGTATATTAAACTCTTTTTATTTTAGGTATTAAAACAGAACCCAACTCTATTTCTCAAATGCATAGCATACAATGAACAGACAGGATTTTGATGTAAGATGAAAAATTGATGCTGAAAATTGGACGAGTCAGAACAGTTGCACGCCTTGATCACACAGGATCAGGTTATTTATCTGTACGATCACACCGCCGCCGACTTGAGCTTCCAAAGCGGCCGGAAGTCATTCATTTTCAATGGAAGCTGCAAGGAGCGTCAAATCCATCGGCGTTGCGCTTTGGGCGTTTTGAGCGTCAATCAGAAAGTTGAAAGAAGCTCAACTTTATGGTAATGAGTTATGACGCGGTTCAGCGGCAAAACGCCAGCAACCAATCGGAATATAGACGTCCTTCGCGCTGGCTGATTCCGGAGAAACATACGATGTAAACTTTCGTTCTTACCAAAACATTAGTTCCGAGAAAATGGAGGAGAAGCTAATCATCACCGTTTCTGGGTTTCCTATCATTAATGACATGACGTTGTTTGTTTATAGGACCGGACCGCATGAGCGCAACTTTTATTTGAAATATTTACGAACGCTCGTTTTAAGCGGGAATGCAATTCATTTGCTCACGGTGACACCGAGTTGACCGCAAATAATAGCCTAATGCAAATAATAATAATAATAATAACTAATTATTCTTTTTTTTTTTACCAAATGTGACCAAAACACTTATAAAAAGGCTGTCATTAAAAAAGGTTTCTTCAATGTATTGCTTGTTTTTTCTGTTTATTACATCTTCACTTCTCCCTGCTCCGTCAGAGCGTCCAAAGCGTCAACCAGCTTCCCCGTACTTTTTGGCAAGCGTCCTTGACAGGGCGGCCAGAGCTTCTTTGCCGCTCAAGTCGGCGGCGGTGTGAACGTACAGTAAGATAAAACACACATAAAATCTCACAGCATTCACGGTAACATGCAAGCCTATGAACAGTGAAGGAAAACTAATACTGGCTATTGGGTGATAGATAGATAAATATATATAAAAAAAAAAAAAAACGATTAGTGGCCTTTGAGAATTGATTTTGATTTGACCACATAAAAAAAAAAAAAAAACCTTTTTATTTCCCTAAGCCCTAATGAGGACATGCTGGGGAAATGCCAGTGAATTTCAGTGTCACAGGCCAGGCAGGGGATAATCTTGAATTTTGAATATATGTGCATGTGTATGCATGTAAGATAAAAGATGCATTTAAAAATAAAAGCAAACTGCATTGAGGAAAGAGCACGACCCTTGAACTTCAAAAGGACTAGAATTTAATTTTAGCCAGTAACACCATTAGGTGCCAACAGAGTGCTTTACTGTTTAATATCCCCCTGTGGTGAAAATCCAGCTTTTAATGTTGTTGTGTATGTGGTGTTTTTAATATGCTTTAAGACAAACCATGTGTAAATTCATAAGTCGACAGCATTGCTGAGTATTTACTCCTTAAAACTGCAGTGAACCAAAGACAGTCTCAAACACACGGTTTGAAATCGCTGGTGTTTCTGACGTCTCAAACAACCTTGTAACCAATCAGATCAACATGTGATCGTCAACCAGTGGATCTCTGAGCTGAGTGAGTGAGTGGAGGCGGGGCTCATTTGCATATTCATAGAACCTGCGTATACTAAATGAGGCAAGGGTGTCGAGTTACATTCAAGATATTTTAAGGCATGAAGAATTTTTTTCCAGGAAAGTTTAAATATGTCATTTTGGTGATAAAAGATTAGTTTAGGGATGAAATGATCGACTACAGGGAGACTAAAATTGTCGACGCGTCATTGATTCAGACCATATGATTAAAATGTCATTCCAGCCAGGCAACCAAGGTTGGCTTTACAACACTGGCAAATGTTCATTTCCCATTCGTTAATATGGGGAATTTTAAATAGGCTGTTCTATAATATTGTACAATTTTGTTTATTAACTTGACTCAAAGAGATAGTTCACCCAAAAAATTAAATTGTCCCTCAAGTTGTTTCAAACCTGTATGGGTTTCTTTCTTCTTCTGAACACAAAATAAGATATTTTGAAGAATGTCATTAAACAGTGAGGCACCATTGACTTCCATAGTATTTTTTTCCTCCTATGAAAGTCAATGGAGCCCATGATCAACTGTCTGGTTAGCAACATTCTTCAAAATATCTACGTTTGTGTTTAACAAAAGAAACTCATTCAGGTTTGGAACAACATGAGGGAGAGTAAATAATGTCAATTTTCATTTTTGGGTGAACTATCACTTTAAAAGCAGCTAGTTTGTAGCAACCGTAGCGCATTTCATAGTGCATTTAAAAACAAACAATTCTAGGGTGAATCTTTTATGGCAGAAATAAGCTAATAAAATACAGTAGGTAAAAACCAGGTTTAAACGAGGATGAAATCTCCAGATGCAAGTTCGTGCAAGGTTAAAACACTACAACAGTAGTAGCATAGTTAATGTCTCTAACGTACGTTAAATCAATGTTTACTCTAGCGATCTCTCTCTCTCTGCACACACACACACACACACACACATACTGAGGTAAAAACTCACCGGGCATCTGAAGCGCATCGGCGACCTCTTTCCATCGTCGGTCCTTCTCTTCCCGATTGTGATAATCGGCGTCAGATATATCGTACAGACATCCAGACTCCTGCCACAGCTCGATTAACGTCTCCTCCGCCTGGCGAGTCCACGATTTCACAGCCATCCCAGCGAGTGTGGGATAATCTGGTAAAGTCCCAGTGTTTGTCGCTAGTCAGAGTTCAGTCGCTCGCCTCATTAACATAATCGCGCAAATCTATGGACGCGTAAACAAACCATGGCGACTCAGTTTAATGGATCGGAAGACTGGAAATCTCCTGTGAGTGTAATGGCGGCGCACAAACGCTCGTGAATCGTACATACTGCCACCTACTACACTGGAGTGAGTGTGAGTGTGTGTGTGTGTGTGTGTGTGTGAGTGTGTGTGGCGTCATGGCTTCCAACTCTATTCTATTAATCCAGTCTCCTAACACACGTTTACTTGTCTATCTAAATGGGGCATTCCAGAGACCTAATGGTTTTTATACTGTACAAACTGTATTCTCTCCCCTTACACTAACCTAAATCCATCACACACACAAACACACACGATGTTGGGACTATTTTACACCAGGGTAACACCATAGTCTTTCTGAGAAAGACTCTCTGGGGTTTATTTCAACCACAAAGGCGGCATTTTACAGTACAGTTGAACAACAACACCATACTGGGACGTAGCTAAGGACCCACTGAGACCATAGGAGGAACAGCACCCCCTGCTCTCTTCCCAGTTTTCCCAGAGTCTCCCATCCAGGTACTGACCCTATCTTCAGTGGGTGTGCAGGTGAAAACACACAAAAGCACATCCTATATACGTATAGAATAATTGACGACGGGCTGTTGAATTATTAGAATGATGCACACTTGATGGTAATGCGGTCACACCTCAGAAGAGGTGTGTATTATTTTTTACAGAAGCTTCTGTGAAGAGTAAACCCCGCCTCATGCGATTCCAAACATTGAAGAGCGCTGTTAGACTGCAGCCTAAAATGATTTGATTGTTTGCTCAGTTTACTTAAAGTCCCCCTGTGGTGAAAATCCAGCTTTTAATGTTGTTTAGGCTATATGTCTATGTGGTGTTTTTAATATGCTTTAAGACAAACCATGTGTAAATTCATAAGTCGACAGCATTGCTGAGTATTTTCTCCTTAAAACTGCAGTGAAACAAAGACATTCTCAAAAACACGGTTTGAAATCGCTGGTGTTTCTGACGTCACAAACTACCTTGTAACCAATCAGATCAACTTGTGATCATCGTCAACGAGTGGATCTCTGAGCTGCTGTGAGTGAGTGGAGGCGGGGCTCATTCATAGACCCATGTAAAGCCTACTAAATGAGGCAAGGGTGTCTGTCGAGTTACATTCATTTTAAGGCGCGGAAAAAAAATTCACAGGAAAAAAAAACGTTTAAATGTGTAATTTTGGTGATAAAAGATGAGTTTTAAGGGATACAATTATTGAATACAGGGGGGCTTTAAAACGAACTACAGCAACACAAATCTTTCATTTTTTTACTTAATAGTCATTTCAGGGGTGTTAATAGAAAAAAGTTAAGGGAACTCAATAACTGATTATATTAAACTGAACTTAAACTGAATGAGTGCAGCAGAGCTATAGTTCCCAGCATACATTGCGTTTAAAAGCATACGGAAAATACATGTTGAAATTTAACGTGTTATTTTGTGTGTTTTTGCATAAGATTATAGGAAGATGTGTGTTAGTTAATCATCTTATGTTGGGATTTATAGGGTTTTCTGTAATGTTGCAGTTTGCTTTAAGGTTACCCGGTGAACAGCATGTGGTTAGGTCGAGGATGGATTTTAATAGGCTAATTGAAGAGATTACATTAAGCCTATTGTTTACATCCACGAAAGTCAAGTAGAGTCTATTCCAGAGAACAGTTTACTATTATTATCACAAAATAGAAACCAAACCCTTCAACCCCCTACCTACCACATATTGCACAGTGCACACAAATAAATACACGTCCCAATAATCAGCCTAATTGTAATTTTGCACACATGACAAGAAGCGATGAAAAACACTGGCACGGCGACCAGCTAGATCATAAAACTGGCACGGCGGCCAGGGACATCAACATCAGCTTACTATTAGAAGACTTGATGATGTTCTGAACCTCGTGAGAATCAAGTTCAGTCGACTCTCCTTCTTTCTGGACCATAGGTTTCATCATGAATATTCATGTCAAAACTTAATAGTTAAAACTACTAATTTCGCAGGTTTTCCAATCATGTCAGTTGGGCTCAGGTGTCGCGTGACGTCAATGCTCCGCCCATTAACCGTTAACAGATGCATCGTCATTCATATTCGATGTCAATCTAAAAACTATTTTTAAACATATTTTTTCATTATTATGAGGTTTTAATGAGCTCGGACTAACTGAATTATATTAAAACTTGGCTATATGTTTCGTGTAATGGCTCAAATCCACTTCTGCTGTTTTAATTGGAGAAATGTTAAACATCAAAATAAACGTTTGCTCCTCATGTCGAGCTGTAATATGCTACTACAGTTTTTATTTCTATGTCATGCTGTTGTTAATCTTAACTGCTAGGGTGTCAAGCCTATTTCATTCAGATCATTTTTCAGCCTATAATTAATGTTCTGACTTTAACTCTTGCCCCGCCATTGACAGAATTTTCCGTAATTTATTGAGGAATTTGACAAAAACGCGATTTTCTCAGCTTCTTGTTCAAAATTTTGTTTTTTAATTAATCTTGCCCACATTCAAGTGTTGATAAAAACGCATGAAGTTAGAATAAAACAGTTATTAATACAACAAAATATTCTGGGGAGCCATGATGACACTTTTGTAAAAATTATCAAAAACGCTGGCGCTGGCTTCAAAATCCCTGGTGGGGAAAGAGTTAATAGCCTACAGTGTAATCAAATATGCAGAAATGTAAAGATGAATCTGATTCTGAACTATATGTTTTTCCACCAGCAGAGGACAGAAGTGAACATATTTAACTTCACTAGCCCACTACAACACACTCCACTTTTACTAACGTAGCCAAAATAATGAATACAAGCCAAATACATCTAATTTCTTGAGTTTATGGCCATTGAATTCAGATCTAAGCAGTACTGAGATGAACACAATGACAGACAAATACACACAAACACTGTGTTTCTCAGTAAACCAGCAGATTTTCTCATGCTGTTGTCTAGTAGCTATTCATAGCTCACATACTATACACATACGTCATGTGGGGTGTGTTTACCAGCTATAGGTCAAGCCATAACTTACACTAGTTCAGCAGTTCACCTTACCCACTAAAGTTAAAGGGCAACCATGATTACTGCAGGCTTCACCTTACAACCAGTGTTCCTCTGTCTCTGCTAGTCTGGCTAAAGACTTTTTTTAATTAATTTTTTACGTTTTATATGTCAATAGGAACAAGTTTCTTTTTAAATACACAATCTTATTCCTCAGTGGCGTGCATGTTGTTCTAAAGAAAATAAATTATTGTCTTACACTGTAAAAATGATATGCTCAATAATTTATGACAACATATGTTTTTACATTGCATTAACTTGTCAAAATAAGTTAAGCAATTTTCAACTTCAAACTCGATTCAACTCATTACTTTAAGTCAGTTTAATGTAATTTAAGTTGAAATGACTTGAACATCCCAGTTGACTGTACTCAAAAATTTAAGGCAGCAACTTTTTTGTTTGTTTACAGTGTAGTAATCAAAATCCAGAAATCAAAATACATTTATGCATTTGGCATTATGCAACATAATTAAAACCAACGAGTCCAGCACTGATTGTAAAGAAGTAAAGATACATGTATATGCATTACACAAATCCCAACAAGCTTTGAACTTTAGTTTCACACTTTTTCAAGAGGAAGTGGCTCTGTCATGTTCATAACAGTATTTATTTCACACGAGGTTCTCTACACTCGTATTTCACATTATGTAATATCACTCAACAGAGCAGAGATATTAATACTTCACTGAAAGAGAATTTCTCTAAAAATAGATTCATAAACAAAACTAAATGTACATGCAGGTGTCATTATGAATTTCCCACCGTGAAATAAGGCATTGGGAATAAATCCATCATCCATATCTCCAGCATGTCAGCATTTATCAGACAAAAACACACGAGTGACTTCATGATATTAGTGATGCGATCATGAGCACAGATTTAGCCATGAAAATAAATATGAACATTTCCTACCAGAACACATTTATAAAAGTAGAGAACCACAGAATGAGGTTTAACAAGACGGTCATGCGGTTCCTAAACACATTTTAAAATATATACAGAGCTGCTGATCATGTACAGTAAAAACATAAAAACCTTTGAGTTGTTTTCACATACAGTTATTAAAGGAACCCGGAGTTGTTCTTCTCTCAACATATGTCAAGAACACACACCATAAACACTAATCACTCTTAGTCAGATAAAACCAGTCAGTTGTTCACTATAAACACAAGATATAAGAAAAATGCAACTTAATATATTCTATTATACATTAATATTATAGTAACATTTTAACATAATAAGGTTCAATTAGTTGACATTAGTTAATACATACTGTAAAAAAATATAGTGTTCATGTTAGTTAATGCATTAACTTATGTTAACAAATATTACCTTATTGTGTTACCATTAGTATTATTATATATAATTTATTTTTATCGAAGGGGGTGTTGCAAGGGTGTTCTGGGTGTTTGCTAGGACGTTGCTAGGGTGTTCTGGGTGGTTGCTAGGACGTTGCTAGGGTGTTCTGGGTGGTTGCTAGGACGTTGCTAGGGTGTTCTAGGTGATTGCTAGGACCTTGCTGGGTGTTTAGGGTGTTCTGGGTGGTTGCTAGGATGTTCTGGGTGGTTGCTAGGACGTTGCTAGGGTGTTCTAGGTGGTTGCTAGGACGTTGCTAGGGTGTTTAGGGTGTTCTGGGTGGTTGCTAGCAAGGGGGTGTCATGACATGATAATTTCAGGCATTATATAACCAAATGACTGAAATCTATACTCAGTAAACAGGTAACGTCACCTGTGCAGGTACGGGTTGGTATATTAAATATTATATACAGTTTCAGCCAATAAATAAAAATATATATTTTTTAAATTACTATCAGAGTGTTCCAGAAATATTCAAAATAAAGATTTTGTTGGAAAGAAAAAGAATGAATCTGATATAATCTGTTTGATAGGGCTCCACTTCTGTTCACGAAACACAAGCAGAACAGATTTCTGTTCCTGAAATTTCCTTACATAGTTATCACATTTAACAATTTAGGAATCATTCTGAAATGTTTTACACCGATTCATGAATGAGTGACTGAATAATTATTTAACACCATGAGTGTTATAAAATATTAATAAAGAGTAAACCAAATAATAAGCCACAATTATTGTCTTTTTTATGAAAGCTTGTTTCTGACTTTTTTCTCACAATTCAAACATTTGTGGCGCAATAACGAGTTTATATCTCATAATTGTATTTTCTTTTGCAATAACGAGTTTATATCTCACAATTCAAACATTTTTCTCGCAATTACTCACAATTCAAGCTTTTTCCTCGCAAATATGAATTTATAACTCACAATTCAAACGTTTTTCTCACAATTACGAGTTTATATCTCACAATTAAAAAAAAATTCTCACAATTACAAGTTTATATCTCACAACTCGGATAAACTCGCAATTCTGACAATTTTTCATGTAATTTTTTTTTTTAATTGTGAGAAAAATGTTTGAATTCTGCGATATAAACTCGTAATTGCGAGAAAAGTCTGAATTGTGAGATATAAACTTGTAATTGTGAGGAAAAAAAAGTCTGAATTGTGAGATATAACCAAACAATTACCTTTTTTATACTTGGTGGCGGAAACAAGCTTCCAAGCTTTTTGAATATAAAGTTGATGTCAAATCATAAAATCATCCGAGCAGAAGTTTTCTCCCTGTTTCATTCCCTTTAGATTGCAGCTGATGCGTCTGGACTTGTGTTTGCTCTGGTGTGGTTGTGTATTGGGAACGCTTCTCCTCGTGCTGAGATGATCTTTTGACCGCCGTTAAGACCAGCGGCCGATGGAGGCGAAGTTTCGGCTCATGTTGTACGTGTATTCGTCGTTCTGATGCTTTCCCCACGCTCCGAACGGGACGACAATAAGTGTGCTGTTGTCCTCCGAGCCGTACTGCAGCGCCTGGACAACACAAACACACTTTAAGAAGAAGAAACATTGTGCAAATCAAATACTTATTAATTGTGTGCCTCTATTTTCCTTTCTCAGACTATAAGATTTCCTCTAGGGCTGTGCAACGGTAAATCACGTCCAAAATAAAAGTTTGTGTTTACATAATAAATATGTGTGTACTGTGTTTAATTACTTTATATATATAAATATATACACACACATGCATGTATATATTTAAGAAAAATGTGTTATTGATTTCTAGGGCTGTAATCTCCCAGTCGACTAGTTGATTTATTGGTCGATATGTTCTGGCTCGACCAAAATTCTGATTGGTCGATTTATTTGCCGTGTTAATTTCATCAGGTGGACAGCACTAACTGCTAATGGGGGTGTTTTCAGCGCACCCCTGTTTCCCAGGTAATAGTCTGTCTGCAGAACACCCCCCTTGTTTTGGATTAGCCCAACCCAACGCCTAAACCTAATGCGCAATTGTTTGTATTTGTTTTGAGCCTATGCTTTATTTTTCAGTTATGCACTTCATTTCGTTTCTGCTCTCGTCTTGATCTGGTTTGTTTAATAAATATAATTTTTTTTATTAAAGAGGACGTGCCTTTTGCGTTTAAAAGTAAAAGCTTTAAGTTAATAGTCTATTTGTGTCTGAAATGATAGTGTCTGTCAGTTATTATAACATATGACAAAAACAATTGTCGAAATCATGTTGCATATTCCTCAACAGTTCTTGTGCTGATATCACTAGTTGACATAGTGCTATTTTCTGAAATCATAGGCTAGCTGTAATATTGCGCAGTAGGGGTGGAACGGTACATGTATTCGTATTGAACCGAAACGGTACGGGCGTCACGGTTCGGTGCACGAATTTGCACGGAGAATACACGGTACAAATAAAAAAAGCGATAAATTTCGCTCTATTCGCTTTTGGTGTGACTGTGAACGCAGCAATGAACAGGCTGCGATCAAGAATGCAATGCTGGAGTGTGTGTGTGTGTGTGTGTGTGTGCGCGAGAGAGAGAGAAAGGCGCGATTAACAGTGTGTGTGTGCGTGTGCGTGTGTGTGCGCGCGCGCGCGCGAGAGAGAGAGAGAGGCACGGGCGCGAATCGCGCGATCGAACTGTGTGTGTGTGTGTGTGTGTGCGCGCGTGCGAGAGAGAGGCGCGGGCGCGAATCGCGCGATCGAACAGTGTGTGTGTTTGAGAGAGGCACGGGCGATCGAACAGTGGAAACATAAAAACGTACTCCGTCATTTTTTTCATACAGGACATCATTAAAACTGCAAATTGTTTACTTTCATGTTTACGCAATAAAACACAACATTGTGCTTTTGTCACACTCTAAACTCTTAGCAAACTGTAACCTACAACTGTTAACAAAAGTTTTTAATGGTAGTATTATTTTATACGGAAATCAATTATTTATAATTCAGATGAGAATAAAGTTAGGGTTCATTAAAATGAAGGAAAACAAATATATTGATCTGAAATAGCAAATTAATTTTAAATTCATTCAGGTACAATTACCAAACATATCTCAAGGTCTTTTCGTCTATTTAATAATTTAATTAATAAACTAATTATATAAAACTACTGTCAGTGCACTACAAATAAACTGGTTCTATGCCTTTATTAATAAAACTTATTTAAAAAATACAAGGCTTAAGACATTTATAAAAAAGCCTTCTATATTTTTGTTTTGCTATTCACTCCATTGTACCGATATCGTACCGAACCGTGACGTCTGAACCGAGGTATGAACCGAACCGTGACTTCTGTGTACCGTTCCACCCCTATTGCGCAGGTGCACGTGATGCAGAGCCGACAGACTCGAGTGTGTAATTTCAGTGCAAAATAATTAGGTCAAAAACTATTTAATACACTGCAAATAGCCTACTAGTTTTTATGTTTATTTATACTTCATTTAGGCGGACAAGGCTACCAAGTACTGCGCAGATAATTAATCTAACGTTTATTTTTCCGCGTTTCTTCCGTGTTTTTTCCACCCCCCATCGATTTCTAGTCGAAATTTCAGGACTTCAGTCGACCAAGATTTTCTTTGGTTGAGTACAGCCCTAATTTCATAGCTCTCTCTGCACCTGCTCAGCTATGACGTTTGCCGCCTCGGGGGGGTCGTGGCACTGGTTGATGACGTCACAGATCTCCTGGTTGGTCATGATGAAGTTGATGCCGTCGGTGGTGAGAACCAGGAAAGAGTCGTGCGCGTGCTGCAACTACAGACGCCAGTAACAATCAGCGCACGTTTACACAACAAATTGGACGCAAGCTTTGCACATTGAAATACCACCAACTAAAATTTTGTTTCATTTGACGATTTATGTTTTGCAATTTTTCCTACAAACAAAAAAAGTTGTAAAATGCAGGTTGAAATGCACAATTATAGCGCGCGCCCAGACTTTTCTTTTAAATGGATCCAATTGCCTATAACATATTGTGACATAAGTGCATACCAGGGTTCGAGTGGTCTCCGGTTCTGCGATCACTCCGCTCTCCTTCAGGTCGAAGTCTCCGATGCTGCGGGTCATTGCCAAGCGGCCGTTAACGTTCGCCTGACCGACGCTGTTCCACGCCACGAACCCGCCACTGTGACGGACTCTACACACACACAAACACACATTGTTTACATGCTTTGGTGGTACCATGATACAGGCATGATAATATCAATGTACACTACTCTTCGAAAGTTTGGTGTTTTTAATGTTTCTGAAAAAAGTCTCTTCAAGGCTGCATTTACAGGTGAAACTCGAAAAATGAGAATATGGTGCAAAAGTTCATTTATTTCAGTAATTCAACTTAAAAGGTGAAACTAATATATTATATACACTCATTACATGCAAAGTGAGATATTTCAAGCCTTTATTTGTTATAATTGTGATGATTATGGCTTACAGCTTATGAAAACCCCAAAGTCAAAATTAAAATATTGTGAAAAGGTTTTCATGTCTGTAAGCCATAATCATCAAAATTATAACAAATAAAGGCTTGAAATATCTCACTTTGCATGTAACGAGTCTATATAATATATTAGTTTCACCTTTTAAGTTGAATTACTGAAATAAATGAACTTTTGCAAAAAAACTAATTTTTTTAGTTTCACCTGTAATTGATGAAAAATACAGTAAAATCTGTTATAATGTGAAATATTATTACTATTTTAAAAAGAGGTGTTGTGCTTGAATATATTTATAAATGTAATTAATTCCTGTGATCAAAGCTGAATTTTCAGCATCATTACTCCAGTCTCATCTGCATTTTTGTTAATTGAAATAAAGTTTAAATAAAATAACATTTAAATGTTAGATGACACTTAAACTAAACGGAAACTGCCTTGGCATCAAGTGAAATGAAGTGTTAAATAAATAAAATAGAATATTAAACAAACTTTTTATTTTATTTCAACATTTCTCAATTTCATTTAGTTTATCTTGTATTAAAATTACAACTGAAATACAAGTTAATAACTATATAGGCATGTTTAAGAAAAAAACAATGACAAAACAACAAAATTACTAAACCTTTAACTGCAATTTAAAAAAACATATGAATAAAAACAAATTAAAAATAATAATAATAACTATAAACTATAGTATCTCAATTATACTAAAATAGCATTGACTGGAAACAAACTGAAATATGTTGAAGCACTAAAAATACTAACATGAATTAGAAGGGAAATAAAAATAAATGAAACTTAAATGGCAATATAAAAAAATAACAAAAATAATAAAAATTACGAAAACACATAATATAATTACAAAAAAACCCTGAAATTAAAATAAAGACTGATAATATATTTTAAAAAAGCAAATTCAAAAATTCTAAATATTAAAGAAAACTATTTATATATAAAAAAGCATGTTATTAGCATGCCATGTCCAGATAGTAACCTAAAACAGTACTTTTATCCAAGCGATATGCCAAAATTGTTCTGCAAATACAATCCACATAACCAAACGAAGACTTGCGTAACATTGCACGCGCGGTTCATACAGCCGTAAGCCATCATTTGAGTCGCAGGCGCTTGGCTTTTATTAATAGCACACAGGCCTGTTAAATACGCAGAGAGATCTGGTATCACTACACATGCAGAACATGTTATTCCTGGAGCGCTGGTGTGTGTGTGTGTGTGTGTGTGTGTGTGTACCTGTGTTTCTCATCTTTCCTCTCTGGCGTGTGATCGTCAGTGAGTTTGCGAGCTTTGCCCTTCCTGCACAGAAGAGCTCGGCTGTCCCCAACACTGCCGACGACCAGCTCGATCCCGTCTCTCAGCAGCGCCACTGTCGCAGTCGTGCCCACCATCATGAGCGAGGCTGACGAGACAAACACACTTACAGGATTTGATGCTTTTAAAGGTGACACATTATGCCCCTTTTCACAAGATGTAATATACAGCGGCGGCCTTAAGCATCTGGGGGCCCGTTTCAATAACTAATATGGGGCCCTACACACATAAAACAGGCAGCTCAACATAGAAATAATCCAACCTTATTTGATTAAAACTATATACACTTAGGGCGTTTTCACACCTGAAAGTCCGCACCAAGGTCCGAACCAAAGTTCAGGTTTTGATACATTTTATACTTTCAGAAAGTTTTGGTTTGGTTTCACACTGCAGTTATGCGAGCGCACTAAAGACCTTTACGTGACACACTCGCGTCCTGTCGTCATCATTTGGGTGTGCTGCATCTCGACATTGATTGGTTTGTAAATGGACGTGTGTGTGTGACGTCAGCGTGTCGTCAGTTCAGCGGGTAACTTTGACAACATGAATGAACAGACGCATATCGTTGTAACTATATTGATATTTTTATGGCATAATTACCCGCAGCACCAACTATACACACAGCTAGGTCAAATTCGCCAAATGAACGTCCTCGTTGTGCGAACATTTTATCGAGTTGACTTCTTCTTATGTCATCAGACCATACTTCAATTAAAAACCTCGTCTGCTCCTCTCCCCATGTGCCACGGCTCATTTCTCCTGCCAGCTTCTGTTTTTCGGCTATGCGGGAACCACCGGAGCATCCTTTAAAAGGTCTGAAAGTCCGAACCATACAGAAATGCTTTCACACTAGAAACGAACCAAACCTTTGTTCAGTTTGATCCGGACCGAGACTAGCTCTTTTCGTCGGACCAAATTTCACCTGTTTGGTCCGGACCGTGGTGCGGGGGAGGTTTCACACCTGTCATTTTGATTCGGACCAAACTGAAATGTCCGGACCAAACAAGGTAGGTGTCAAAGGGCCCTTATAAAGCGTTTTACGTTGGAATAAGCCTCGCCCTTTCACGCAGGGTAACTTCACTGCTTAATTGATTTGCGCAGTATATTTTCAGCTGTCTGTGCTGACTTAAAAAAAACCCAGCTCAAACATCCCCTCGACTTGAATAGGTAAAGGTATAAACACATAAACTACCGATATTATTCTTCAGATCGCTTAAGCCGTTCGCGGGGGCGGTAAACGTCGCCATGGCCACTTACTTCGACCAATCAGAGACGTCAGTGTTTTGCTTAGAATTGTGGCTTTTATAGGAGCAGAAACTTTCGTTTCACAACCTCGTAGCTCGTGGTCAATCTACCTTGGATGGTTTAGACATTTTGGCTGAAAATCAATATCCTACGGAGAAAATGAATGGGATTTTGCTGGTCTGTTGGGGCCCCCGTTGGAGGACGGGGCCTGTTTCAATTGAAACGTGTGAAACATAGGTAAGGCCGCGTCTGGTCATTTATTATAGCTTGTCAAATTTGCCCCTTTTTGGGTGTGAGCAAAAACGCGCCATTTTTGTGTGTGTCCCTTTAAATGCAAATGAGCTGCTGCTCCGCCCCCGTTCAGAAGAGGGCGGAGCCTTTACACGAGCTTCAGAGACTCCGGCAATAACACGACGGGCGAATCTCCCTCATCCACAATCTCAGAGATAGCGAGTGTAGCCTTACGGAGAGACTCGGGGAGAGTTTACCTTTTAGACGCTCCTGGACGTTTCTGAATGGTTAGAGGATACATGCGTGGAGTTGTTGTGGAGTTACATTGATTCATCTCATCAACTTGCATGAACCGTCATGTTTAACTTATACACAAGTTGACACAGTTCCCTGAGGTCTTTATAAGACAGCTGTGACATGATTTGCTCGTCTGTGCTCAACGACAGAACAGTTTACATGCTTTACTCGAACTTTTGCCATTGCGTCAGAACTGGTTACGCTGGTGTAAACCATAATGGTAATATTATAATAAGATCCCCTTCCTACATCAGAAGGGGAGTGAAATCTAATCAACTTATTTTTTGACATGCTTGCAGAGAAAGGCTCACCAGAACAAAGATACTGGCTTTCACTTTTCATGTTTTCTGTGTTGGTAGACGCACCCGATTATAACACTTAAACACGGAAAAAGTCAAATTTTCATGATATTTCATGATATTCATGACACTTATGACATGTAAAGTGGCTGTTTAGTGTATGTATGAAATCCTCAAAGTCATACAGGGAATGCATGAACTGATAAAATATGTGTGCCATGAAATGCAATGCATGTGGCAAATGCATAAATGTAAATGATAATTCTTCATACCATTGCCATATATCCGCAGCTCGGCAGCCAAAGCCACGTCCACCTGCAGGAACGCTTTCGACAAAACCGCCTGTAAATCTGTTTCCACCTCCAAACAATCCCTACAAAACACAACAACTTCATCTTCACTATTTCATTCACAATGGTGCGTTATATTGCATTGACCCAGAACACATTCTTGAGTTGATGGAAATACTGGTTATGATTTTCTTTATATTTTGTTTATAATCATGAACATGATTAAATTATGCTTAAAATTAAACACGATTTAAAATTTTAATCATGATGTAGTGATTAATTAATCTAATTAATCGCACATTAAATTTGTCATTTAAAGTCATTATTGTGTTAAATGAGAAAAGCATCAAAAATACAATAATTAGCTTTAGAAAGAAACTAAAACTGCCAGTAATATACAGTATATGATGCATTGAAGGCATAAAAACAAACAAAAACAAAATTTGTTTATTTAAATTATACTGTATATAAATTATATTTAGAACTGTATTTTAACAACAATTAAAAAACATTTTTTTTTACAAAATGTGAATTATTTTAGTAGTATTTTAAATATTTTACCAGATTTTTTTTTTATTGGTGAATTGTATTGATTCAAACTAGATTGTGAAAATGTCGAAGTTATAAATAAAACTAGTACTTTTTACAAGAAAATACTAAATCATTCTTTCTACTTCAAAATTTCACGTTTAATTCAATGTGTTTCTCCATTTCTTTGTAATTATTTGTCAAATTCACTTGCGTTTTCTGAGTGAAAACTGTTTCAAAGCCTACTTTTCTCAGTCTAGGGTTAATTTTACCTGGAACATAATGATCATAACTAGAACTTTAACATAATACAGGGTTATATATATAGGGTTAATTGAGTTTAACTGGAGGTCACCATATGGTGTACCTGATGTGTTGCTCCATGTGTTTGTGACAGAAATCGGCGGCCTGTGGTCCTCCGTGCCCGTCAAACACAGCGAAGTACAGTGTGTTATGCGCGAGCTTGCTCACTTGGAAGCGGTCCTCGTTTTCCCGCCGACGGCCGATGTGGGAGGCGCAGCCCACGTTGGAAAGGCTGACGTGTGGGATGGGGGTCCCATAGCGGATGCTGGGCGGCAACTGGATGGGCTCCTCTATCCGGTTATCCCAAATCCCAAAGGAATCCCACGTGGCTGGACGCCCGCTGCCGTCCATGTCCAAGCGTGTGCTGCTCCATCGGACTCCGGGAATGGCCGGCTCCCGCTCGCACACACACCTGGCTGGACGTGTGTTCGCGCTCCGGCCCACCGCGGGGAGGCTGCGTCGGAGCAGACGGGACAACGAGACGGCCGAGACGGACATTCAGACTTCTGTTCCTCAGCACACTTCAGATAGGACTCCTGTGATCAAAATTAAAGGAGAACACTTTGAAATAAGGTTTCATTTAGTGCTGTCAAATCGATTAATCGCGATTAATCACATCTAACATAAAAGTTTGTAAATATACTGTATGTGTGTGTATATATATATTGTATGTATATATATATATATAAATACACACACACATGTATTTACAAACTTTATGTTAGATGTGATTAATCGCGATTAGTCGTGACTCGTGATTAATTGCGTCTAAAATAAAAGTTTGTAAATATATATGTGTGTGTATGTACTGTATGCGTGTATATATGTACACAGTGTATATATATATATATATATATATATACACACTATATATTTACAAACTTTTATGTTGGATGCGACAAACGATCTCAAATAAAAGTTAGTAAATATACATGTGTGTGTATGTATGTGAGTATATATATATATACATATATATATATATATATACAGTATATATATACATTATGTATTTACAAACTGTTATGTTAGATGCGATTAAATAGATTTAATGCGATTAATAGCATCTAACATAAAAGTTTGTAAATATATGTGTGCGTGTGAATATATTTATATATATATATATATACTGTATATATACACACTGTGTATATATTTACACACATACACAACACACACACACATATATGTACAAACTTATGTTATCGCGATTAATCGATTTGACAGCACTAGTTTCATTTAGTTAGCATGAATGAACAAAAAATATATATTGATCACCATTTACTAATACAATATTAAAATCCAAAGTTTTATCTGTTAATATTATTGATAACACTTTACATAATAAGGTCCCACGAATTAACATCAGTAAGTGCATTTACCAACATTAACAATAAGAGATACTTTTGTTACAGTATTTATTTATCTTTGTTAACGTTAGTTAATACAAATATAACTGTTCACTGTTAGTTCATGTCAGCTCAGCTCCATTAAATAATGTTAACAGATACATCTTTTGATTTTAATAATGTATTAGTAAATGTTGAATTAACCTTAACTAAGATTAGTTATTGTTTTAGAAGTATTGATCGTTGTTAGTTCATCTTCAAAAAAATGTAGTTAACCAATGAAATGCAAGTGTTACCATGTTATTTAACTGACCTGATCTAACATGAACTAACAGTAGTGGTATTGTAAATTAACCAAAATTCACAAAGATTAATAAATACTGTAACACATGTATTACTCGTTGTTAGTTAATGTTAGTTAATGCATTAATTAATGTTAAGTAATGAGACCCTTATTGTAGTTAGTAGTGTTTGCCAAGTCAAAACAGACTCCAAATCTTTTGCAATGTTTTCAGATGATGCAGACATTGTGAAGATTTCAGATGATGGCAACATAATCATTAACATTGTTTATTCCTTATACTGTAATTATGAGAACAAGTTGTAACTGCAGCATAAAGTTAATGAAGTTAACGTACAACATAACATTACAGCTGTATATCACATTACTTTGACACACTCATCTCTGGCTGATAACTGAATACTTCATTGAAACAAGCATTTTCTGTAAAGCTGCTTTGAAACAATATGTAGCCTATTGTGCAAAGCGCTACACTAAAAGCTTGAATTGAATTGATGACTTCTTCAGGTCAAGTTCATGTGAATCTGCTGTGCGTCACACACACTGCTGACCTTTGTGAGACGTGTGTGTTTCGTGTCAAAACAAATACATGCCATTGCCGGCCCCAATGACATCACTGGGTCAGTAATGCATCATCACAACAAGTGTTCGGCAATGAATGTGTGCATTTCAAAATGCATATTCTTGATTTCAATGACTTGCAGCAGTCACTTTGTAAAAAGCACATTTTCTTATTTGCACCATATCTTTATGTAGCCTATTATTGTTAAAAATATTAATACGTTTTTTGCTGATTTTACATGTACTTTACTTTTGATTCATGGTAAAAAAAATATTATTTTTAAAAACTTATCCAGCACTTCTGTTCTTTTCTAAACTTTTTTTTTTTTTTTACGTTTTAGAAGTTTAACTTTATGTAGAACAATGTACTTTGCAAACGAACTGGATAAATAAATATTTTCTTTTCTAAACTTTTAAAAATTAACTTTATGCTTGTAAAACTATTTTAAAAAATGACAGTAAAAACTGTACAACAAAGTGCTTTCCAAACAAGTTCAATATATCCCAATATACATAGGCCTACTAACATAATAATTCGTCAGACCAGATTTAGTCAGAAAGCTCTGAATGTCACCGCTCGTTACAAAAGCAAAACTCGTGAAAAAGATAACAGCAACTTACCTGCGTCAAATAAGCAGGTTTGTCATTTAGTTGACAAAGTTATTGTCCGTCCAAAAAAGTGAGCTAGACAGCTGGAGTGACAGAAGGTGTGTGTCAAATCAACACACTTCAACGCTACTAGTTAAACTGATAAACTTGCTCCAGGGGGCGTTGGCGGCTCAAAAGCCCAATCAACATTTGAGCCGCTTTTAAATCTCAGGATATACTTTGTCAGTAAAGAGACTTTTGCATACGAAAACCTATAAACTGTTAAATCGATTAATTCAAAGAATTCGAAACATGAGCTAATAATGAAAGTACGCCGCGGCAATGTTTACACAATAATTCTGAACATAAACACAAACGACTGTGATTGGTCGATCCTGAGCAGCGCTGAGAAAAGTAACACATATCAAGTGGCGAAGTTCTGCTTCAGAAGCGGTCGGGATAATAAATAATACAAAAATAGTGACACAGAGGTACTTTAATAATCACTAAAGGAAATTATACAGTGAATAGTGAACAGTGAATACATTCTTATGTCAATCAGAGACAACGTCCGAGCTGCTAAACCCCGCTTCTTCATCACATTCCATTACACAGATTATCCAATCACAGGCCGCCTCTATCGTCCGCTCGTCCAATCAGATGAGGGGGTGTGTGAGTGTTTGGGTCAGGCGCTTTTTTATGCGCGCCACCGCGTCCAACATTCTCTTGATGACTGACATGAGTTTGATTTACTCTATTCGTTTATTTTCTGTAAATTACTTCCTCAAACCAAAGGATTCTTTGTTCTATAGTATTCCAACATAAAGACAGATTTGAGAACATGCGTCCCCAATAGAAGTAGGCCTACTATGATTATTTAAGATAGAAATACCTTTGAACATCTAACTAAAATGTGTTACACTCCCAATTATATTTGATTTAGAAATGCATTAGGGGCATTAGCATTTACACTGTGTGTGTTTGGCCTCTCTCTCTCACACACACACACACACACACACACACACACACACAGAGAGAGAGAGAGAGAGATGGATCACAGCATGTTTCTGCTGTAAACACAGCTGAAGTCATGAATAAAAGATCAGCAAGTACTCAAAACAGATACATTTAAATACACTATAAATAACTCATTCCGGTGGAGACCATAAAGTTTTCTTAAGCAAACAGCTGCACTTGCAAGGTAGCAAATGTGTAAAGGTTTAGGTTTAATTTACAGTATACTCTTACAAATTTTGCAGAATAGTCTGTGCATAATGCCAAATAATACTGCACAATATACAGCAAGTTTTAGGCTAGTATTCCATTCCATAAAAATACAACAATAAATGGTTACATTAATTTGCATATGGAAGAAAGAGCAATTACAATACAATATGCAAATATTAAAGATAATTTGGTATGAGGTCATTCGGAGATTTTCAAACCTTACATTTCTGAAGAAATAAAGCAAAACTAGAACTGCACACCTTAAACTGAGTCTGAATGAAGTTTGTGTTATATTGTTCGTGTCGAATTACAGAAGTTTAATATTTACTATACTTATAGTGTTTGAGGTTTTGAACAAACACTAACCGAAATGTTTGAGGAACATCAGCACATCTATAAAGAGAGCAAAACAGAAATATGAAAGAGAGATATTACACCATTTCTCTGAAGTAAGTAGGGCAGATGCTCCGTAGGGTCCATAATGTCGACCGAACACAGGACTCAGTAGATGTGTGTGCTTATACACCTGTGTGTTTGATTTACTCTGAGTGCTGCAGATACAATATCAACGCAGCTCGACTGAAATATTTAAAGCTGGACTCAATTCAGACATCATTTAGAACAAAGATAACCCACTTTAAGTCAATATCTACGCCTTGCTCCCTCACACGGAAAAGATCAAATATTCAGTAGACTTCACTTAAGAGCTCTGGGCGGAAACACAAAGACCTCATTCAGTCAAGTCCTGGTGCCTCGGTAAAAATAACATGAAATCACACACCAATCACAGTGCTCAGAAAACAAGAACCAGGCTCATACACAAGGTGTTTTAACTATATTTCTGTTTGTGCAAGACTTGAGGCTTTAAAATCAGACACAGATCACATTATCTAGAACAATACAAGCATTATTTTATTCCATTAAAGTGCTCTAGTGATTATCAGCCCATGATTGTGTATCTCTAGAAGGCTTTTTGCAGTGATAAAGCAACTGAAAGTCATTCTTTTTCAGTGAGATTAACATCTGCCAGCATTGACAGTGTTTGAAGTTGTTCAGGTGTATGTAAGTGAGTACAAAAAGCTGCACGATTAATCGTTAAAAGATTGCGGTCTCGATTCAAACACCATCACGATTTTTCCTAAATGACAACGATTCAATTTATTGTGTCAAAAACTTTTGGCAAAATCATACCGAGCATTAAAATCTCCGGACCTCATTTTTAGGTATGAAACAGCTTCACAAACAGTCTTTCCAACCGCACAGTATCCCTATTTCTGTTACAATAATTAAAATTATCACAGAAATACTGGGATAAAAGTTTATAGTTCGGATATAAAGTGTGATGACTACGGTAGTGATAAAAAATAACCAGGTAATCAGGTAATGCTTCAAATAACGATTGTTTCAATACATTATTACACCAGTAGGGGGCGACAAGTGACTGTTAAAATGTATTTGTCATTGAATCAATCATTCAATATTCGTTCAAAAACACAGATTCATCCAGTAATCAGCTAAAGTCAGGTCACCGGCTTATCGCCAGTAATGAAACAAGTCTTTATGAGGGAGTCATTGAATCATTCATTCAACCAATTTAAAAAGAAAAAAATAGTTCTAATTAATTGAACATTTTAAATAGACTGCAGCAATTAATATTTTGTCAGAACCTCTAGTAAAATACATGTTATTTTATTCAGTAGTCTGTTCAGAATAGGAGAATCGTGATATTGTTTGAAAAAAAAATCGTGATTCTCAATTTATCCAGAATCGTGCAGCTCTAGTACAAAGTGACCACAGTGACTGAACATGATCAATGCTCTCATTTAGACAGTAATTACCCGTTCTGAGAAAACCTTCAATGTCCCTAAAAACATTATCATACAGAAACTGTTTTCAAACCAGTGCTCATTTTAAATCTACAAAGTAGATTTTTTTTATAAAAAAAGTGATAAAAAAGTTGGTTTTGAAAATGTCTAGCTAAATATAATGACATTAAGTTAATACTGTGAAGACAGTAGACCGTTTTTTTTCTGTGCAAAATTGGAAAAAAAAGTAATTGAACTTTCAATAAAGTTACATAATAGTGAACGATTCACATTAATATTCAAGTGAACGCATTAACTCAGTCTAACAGGCTAGTTCACATCACTTCAAACAAATACCAACATTTCAAATATTGTTCACATATAATGTTGGATGTTGGCTTTAGAAATGGGAAACACAATTGCAATTTCCATTCTGCCCCAACAAACACAAACTGTGTGAACACACTGATCCAGAACAATATCTGAAAGATGGTGTTTGTTGAGGCAGAGAATGAGTCTTAAAGGGATAATTGACCCCAAAATGAAATTTAATCATATCCATCCAAAACTATACAAGATTCATTCTTCTGTGGAACACAAAGGTCTCAGTGCCGTTTTGTCAATACAGTAGAAGTCAATGTTGTCCAGTGTTGTTTTGTTCCCAAGGTTCTTTAAAATATCTACTTTTGTGTTCCATAGAATAAAGAAAGTCATGCAAGATTTAGTAGAACAACATGAGGGTGAGTAAATGATGACAGAATGTTCTTTTTTTGAGTGAACTATCACTTTAAGAGACATTTAATAACCCTCCAGAACCAAAAAAGTGGGGCTTATTAACTGAATCATAAAAACGACAAATGGGACACTCTACAGTCTCATGCACTTGCATAGTCAAGAACAAGTTTACATGAAGTTCGCCATTTTGGGACTCGGCCATTGACAAGAAGTCATTTCAAGACCTTCCAGTTCGTGTCTACATATTTTTTTACTTTTTTTAATCTGCTATACATTCTCCAGTCTAGCCTCCATCTATAAAATACATTTACATATAAATGGGTTACACTTTATTTTACACACTCTATTAACTATAAGTAACTACATGTCAACTAACTCTCATTAATTTGCAGCTACATGTCAACTAAAGCCGCGTTTCTACCGAAATTACCCGGACCAATTTGTCCCAGGAACTTTTTACCCCTAGACCTGTTGCTGTCTGAGTTTCCACCGCGGTCCAAAGTACCGTGAAGATTAGGCATATTAGTTCGGTGACGTAGGACTGCGCGCTACTTTACAGTTCACGCAGGATTTCATCCTCTGAATTTAAGCTTAATAAAGCCTGAACCTCGGCGTCGGTCCATTAATTGTATTTTTTAAACTCCATTGTTGATTCGAAAAGTAAACAACTCTACTGCATGCACCGCAACAGATTTTTAAAAAAATGGTGGTTGAAATAAAATGCTGCGTGGAGAAAACCAATCAAAATGCTAAGTGATCTCTACCAATCAGCATGTTCAGCGCCCAAGTCTCAACCGTGAAGGTTCCTGAACTTTGAAAAAGTACTACCTTGCCAGCAGAGACTTTCTAATGGGGAGATTTTGAATTCATAGACCTCTCTGCAGTCGAAACACACTGAGTACCACCCCAAAGTTGGGGGAAGTTGGCGAAGCTTGGGAAGTTCCTGCGGTAACACTCATTAGAGTATTATTAGACTGTTAGGTTGGGTTAATAGAATAGGCATGTAGTTGCAAAATTACTTATAAAATGTCTCATGGGGAGAATCAAAATAAGGTTTTAGCAGATATTAAGGAGACAATCTACTAATCATCTAATAAGGGTTAGTTGACATGTAGTTGCAAAGTTACCTATAGTTAGTAGAATGCCTAAAGTGAAATTAAAGTGTTACCAAAAAAAAAAACGAGTCACTTTGGCAGTTCCTCTTTGGGTTGTGGTTTCAAGCAGCAATTAGATCCAGGGAACAGTGACCTGAAGACATTCCTCTTCCTCTTTCCTGTCCTACCCTTTTCGGGCGATTGTTCAGAGAGGCATATGGAGTTCCGGAGTGTGCTGATCCGCCGCTCGTGTTCACGGATCTTGCACTGCAGGTGGTTCTGGATGGCAAACCCCAGCGATTCCATATCCAGCGACGCTCCATACACTTCCCACGTCATTCCCTGCTCATCCCAGATGATCTGCTGAGGTGCACCACTCTTCTCCTTTTCTCCCTTCACTTCTCCTGTTCTCCCAGAGTTGATGGGTTTTAAGGAGTCCTCGGAGGACTTGTTTGTCACTCCGGGCAACAGTCGACAAGTTGTGTCCAATTCACTGATGGTTACTTTCGAATCAAGAGTCTGCGGTGACTGGCTACAAAGTTCAATCTCTATTTGACACACATGTTGTAGAGGTTTCTGGCTATTGGGAGACTTGTAAGGGGCTGGACCTAGAAATCTAGGCTTGGCTCCCGTTGGTCTGAGGTCTACAGTTGGCAACCAATCAGAGTCAGAGTTGCCATCGGGCCTGAGATCATTGTATAGGCCCACTTTAGGGTTGAGGTCAATCTCAGGGTTCAATTTAAGGTATTGAGAGTCATGGACTGGACTCATGTCTGTGGATTTGCTGCAAACCTCCATGACCGCCTGGACCTCGACGTCAACGTAAACTGGGTGCAGATCCACCTGTAGTGCTGCGTCCTTTGTTTCGGTCACTAGGAAACCTTTATATGTCTTTGTCTCTGCATCGTTCAATTCCTTGGATGCCGACGTCTTATCCACTGGGAAACCTTTAATTGTCTTGGTCTCTGCATCGTTCAATTCCTTGGATGTTGGCGTCTTATCCACTTGGAAACCTTTAATTGTCTTGGTCTCTGCATCGTTCAATTGCTTGGATGTCGACGTCTTATCCACTTGGAAACCTTTAATTGTCTTTGTCTCTGCATCGTTTAATTGCTTGGATGTTGGCGTCTTATCCACTAGGAAACCTTTAATTGTCTTTGTCTCTGCATCGTTCAATTGCTTGGATGTTGGCGTCTTATCCACTAGGAAACCTTTAATTGTCTTTGTCTCTGCATCGTTCAATTGCTTGGATGCCGGCGTCTTATCCACTAGGAAACCTTTAATTGTCTTTGTCTCTTCATTGTTCAGTTGCTTGGATGTCGGTGTCTTATCCTTTTCGTTCATCACTGTATCCTTCTTGGCCTCAGTCACCATCTTGTCCTTAATCTCAACTGCCCCCTTTCTCTCTCCTGTCTGTCTCCTCTCCTCGCTTTTTGCTTCCTCCTTTTCCTTCTGTCTCTGACTGCTCCCTGCGTGTCTCTCTTGGGTTGTGACATATGCGTCAGTCTTGTCTTCAGGCTCTTTCTGCTGTTCAGCTGCTTGTTTCGATGACAGAGCGGAGGTTTGTTTGCACCCTGTCGAGCTCTTCACGGTGAGGTCTCTTCCACCGTGTCCCTGAGGGACAGTGTCCTCTCTTTCATCTCCAAGCGTTTCTCCTTTTCTCTCAATCCTGCTCTTTATCTCTTGCTCCTGGCGTCCCTGAGGACTCTCTCCTGCTGCTTTCGCCCCCAGTTGCAGTTTGCTCTCCACCAATGTGTCAATCATTATATCTTTCGGAGAAGTCGATAACGGTCCTTCTTTGCCTGTAACTCTTTTAATCCGCTCGGTTTTGTCCAATTTGAGAGATGCAGCGTGGGATAGTTTAAGTTTGGGGCTGGAAGTGGCTCGAGGAATGTGCGAGAGAGATGCCCGGTTGAGATTCTTGGGAGAGTCGTTTGAGGAAATCTGGGAAGCGGAAGCGGTTTTGTGAAGCATCTTTTGTGGGGAGTCTGCGGAGCCCATTATATGAGATGCTGAGGCCGTCTTTTGGATGTTTTTGGAGAATGTTTTCGCATTCGCTTGTAGCTTCTTCTCATGGCTTGCATTTGGGGATCTGAGTTTTGACCCACTGGGTTGAGGTTGAGTGGATAAACTTAAGACCATTCCAGGTGCAGTTGCTTTGTTTGGTTGAGTTGATGCTATTTTAGTCATAGCAGTTGTGTTGATTGTTCTCACAGTGACTTGCTTGGTCGTAGCCGAGTGCATGGTGGGTATTCTCGAGGCAGGGAGGGGTTCTGCGGCTGGATTGGTTGCTAATGCTGTGTGTTTTAGTGTTTTTTCATGGCCAGCAGATTCCATTGAGTTGGATCTCTCCTCTAGCTCTTTAGCTTTTACTTCAATCCCATGATTCTCTCCAAGTCTTGTCCTGGTTCCAGGAGAGGTGTTTCCCTTTCTGTGTTGTCCTGAGGTCTTGGGCTCAGATTCCCAGCATGCCTTGGGCTCATCGTTTCTGGGCGGATGAAGGAAGGCAGGTCGGGATTCCATGAAACCAATCCAAATGAATATCCAGCTCTGATTTAGTGATGTTTTAGTTGTGGGTACGACACACCTGTCAAGTGAAAAACAGCAGATTCTGTTAAAGAAAATCTTTGCTATTTGGTGGATTTTCAAACCATTAGTGAGTTTTGATCTTGAGGCTTACTCAAAAAACCTTTTACTTCTTTAGATTTTCAAATAGTTTGATTATTTTGGGTGAAATATCTAAATGAAATCAATAAACAAGCATAATGAATTGTTTTAAGAGCTTTGCCATACGGTCAAATTGTTTACACTGTACATTAAAACATGCAAAAGCATTTCCAATTCATCGACATAGAGCAGGATAAACAGAAAGAGAGAGGAACCAATCATTAAGAGGCCCATCAGAGAGATGAAAGCGCTGTTTCATTGATCAAACTTTGTAATTCACATTAGATAGATGGAAATGACAGGATTTATTGATTTTATGTCAATTCGGTTAGGTACTGTAAGTGCACTCCTGACGTAACGACTGTACATTCAAGGCCCTCTACATTTGCAATTTATCTTGCATTGCTTGTTATTGAATTAACTTGTTAAAAATTACTACACTGAAACTATATTCCAGTTGCATTTTAGTGAATAAACCAAATGTTATTACTGCATGTTAGAATAATCATATACGCATTGATTTGAAACTATGTTTTTTTAAAAGGAAACAAAACAAAACTCATGAAAGCAGGTTTTGAATGCTGTCTGTTTTACAAATGCAATCAGAGCCAATTGTGAAAATATAGCAATTTAAAACGACAACTCAAATTTCCCTGCTGAAAAAAAAAACACATAAAAAAACAAAACAAGAAAGTGTCCAGAACTCCCTTATTCTCCTGTAACATAACAGTATGATGGGTAATAAATGTAGGCTACAGAGATTATCGACGACGCCCATTGCACGACCGCGTAAACACTATCGCTTTATGTGTCATTAAAGTACACAAATGGACCACAAACACGTCTTCTTGAATAAATATTACACGCACAATTATACTCACTATTAATGCCTCCAAAATCCAGACGATGTCCATCATGGTGTGTGTGCGTGTGTGTGTGTGTTCTTCTGAAGGTTGATGCTGAAACTGTGGAGTGTTTTTCCCTCTCATGCTTGAATAAATGACGATGCGCGCGCACGAGCTGCAAGAGAAGCAGGGGTGACGCGCGCAATACAGCGCACACACATATTGATTTAGTTTGATGATGTGCGTCTCATTTTTCCAAAACATCAACAAACATTTTACAGTTGTGCGCGTCAGATCGCCTGGCTTTTCTCCCAGTTCAGCTGGGAATTCGCCAGAAGGAAATATGTTCTTGATATGTAAACATAAATGCACCTGCATTTTATGCATGCAGCGCTTATGCTTATACAATTTAATATTTAATACATTATTCCAATATGCTGTAATGTTATAAAGAAACGTTAAAAAAAATCTGTCTCAAATCACCTAAATGAACACAACTTGCGCTGAATAATTTGTTTGTGGCATATTTTTTTTAATCGAAAATAACTCTAAATGTCTGTCCAAAAGAAAATCTTAAATTTCCCAGAAGTAATTATGACTTTATAGCTAAATATAATATAGGCCTAATGATCAAATAAACGACGACTATAACAGAATATATACTGCCTTAACAAATGCTTAACTCTCTCGTTTTCAAAATATAACACTGTAAAATTAGACTTATAGGCTAATTATAGCTGAGAAGTACTACTGACACCCAGAGTGCATTGCGGCTGGAATAAATTATGTAATTTCAAATATTTTTTGTTTTATGTGCCAATTTTATTTGCTGTCTTGTGTCAGTAGCCTAACACAACAACAAAAAAAAAGTGATTTTTTTTCGTTTTAATTTTTAATTTTTAAATACATTTGCAAAGTTTTCAAACAAACGTCTTTCACGTTGTCATTATGGGGTATTGTTTGAAGAATTTTGAGGAAAATAATTGATTTAATCCGTTTTGGAATAAGGCTGTAACAAAATGTGGGAAAGTGAAGCGCTGTGGATACTTTAGATGCACTGTAATTCATCTTGTTAGTTTGCATCTTATATTTCTTTTGACTCGAACTAAAGATATAAATAAGCAGCGGATCAGAAGGATTAAATGCTCAAAACTATGAACTATGAAAATTATTTTAAAATCAAACAGAGGCAGAAAAAGCTGCACATCTAATCCTGTTTATTAAAGCTTTTAGATTGGATAGACAGTTGTTTTAATCATTCTTTAGCATTATGAGACTAATTGATTAATAAAGTAACATAAAAACTCACCTCAAATTCATATGCTCATCAAGGCTGCATTTATTTGATTAAAAATACAGTAAAAATTGTGAAATATTATTACTATGAAAATCAGCTGTTTTCTATGTGAATATCTAGTAAAGTGTAATTTATTCCTGTGATCAAAGTTGTATTTTCAGCATCATTACTCCAGTCTTCAGTGTCACATGATCCTTCAGAAGTACCATTTTTCAGAAAAACATAATTTTAAAAGATGATGGTTTAGACAGAGATATATTTTTGCTGTGGT